GGCTTGGGGAGTAGAAAAACTCCCAGAACCCCATCAACCAGGGATCAACCAGGTATCTCTGAATTGGTCGACAGTTGTGAATTGCTGAGTAGTTCGCATGTTAAAGAGTTGAGTAGTATCCTCTTTTAACAACGTTTCAGTAAGTATAATAAAAGAGAATTTGTTGCCAATAGTTTCAATCAAGGCACTAACATCATTGAAGTGTTTGCTTAGAGATCTTACATTCAAGTTAATTACAGAGATATTGTGATTATGTGTTAATACATTGCTTACAACATGTGCTGTAAAATATCTGCAATTTCGATCATTAAATTTCTCTGTACCTAAAGCCTATTAATTCCACTGACGTCAATGAGATAATCCTTTCCCTTAAAACCAAGTCTGGTGCCCTTGAGGAGATACCAACTTTAATTTACAAAAAAGCCTCCAGATCTTTAGCCCCTGCTATTGCTTTGCTCTTCAACAAGTCACTTGAACTCCAAACCTTCCCAGATATTCTAAAAAAAGCGAGAGTAACGCCTGTCCACAAATGTGGTAATCTCACAGATGTTAACAACTACAGACCTATATCTATCCTGCCAAACTTGTCAAAAATTTTTGAAAAACTAATCTATAAGCTGCTTTACTCATATCTAGCCAAACTCAATATACTTAGCCCTTGCCAATATGGCTTCAGACCCAAAAAAAGCACTAACGATGCACTTATTAGTATGCTTAACTCGATTCATACAGCTCTTGATAAAAATGAGTTCTCTGTTGGGTTGTTTGTGGACCTGCGTAAAGCTTTTGACACTGTCAACCACCAAAACCTTCTTCTTAAATTACATCATTATGGAGTCAGAGGACACTCCCTACAATACCTCAAATCCTACCTTACTGACAGGCTCCAATATGTTTCTGTGAATAATACAATTTCTCCCACCCTACCCATCAACATTGGTGTTCCCCAGGGCAAAATACTTGGCCCTCTCCTCTTTCTCATCTACATTAATGACCTTCCAAATGCCTCCCAACACCTCAAACCAATTCTATTTGCTGACGACACAACCTTCATTTACTCCAGTCCTGATCCCCTTGCTCTAAATGCCACAGTAAATACTGAGCTAAATAAAGTCCATCTGTGGCTAACTGCCAACAAACTCACCCTTAACATTGACAAAACCTTTTATATTCTGTTTGGCAATAAATCCTCTAATCAAATAAATCTCAAAATAAACAATACCCAAATTTGTAACAAATTAGATGGCAAATTCCTTGGCATTCTCATTGACCACAAGCTTAATTTCCAGGGACACATTCTAAACATATCAAAAAAAGTTTCAAAAACTGTGGGCATTCTTTCTAAGATCAGATATTATGTACCACGCCCTGCCCTGGTGACTCTCTATTACTCCCTTATCTATCCATATCTCAACTATGGTATTTGTGCTTGGGGCTCTACTACCCAAAATCACTTACGTCCTCTAATTACTCAACACAAAGCTGCTATTAGGACAATATCCAATTCTGGCCCCAGACATCACTCGGTACCCCTACTTAAATCTCTGAATATGTTAGACATTAAGTCACTGCACATTCTCTCATGTGTATTATACATATATAAAACGCTAAACTATAATGCCAATCCTGATCTCAAAAGCTTCATAGAAGGTTGTATCAGAACCCATGAGCATCACACCAGAAATAAATACAGTTTTGATATTCCTAGAGTACGACTTAATCAAACTAGAAATGCTCTACAAATCAAGGGGCCCAGAATGTGGAATGACCTTCCCAACCATGTTAAAGACTGTACCTCTCTCAACCAGTTTAAGTTAAAAGCGAAGCTATACCTAATAAATTCCCTGTAACCTACCTTACCCTTCTATTGTCAACCAATGTCTGTTTTTTTCTTTAAAGAGCGCTGTTTGTCGACATAATTGTATTTGTGCTGCTTTTTCATCTATGTTTTCATTTCTTGTTTTCATTCTACTCATTATGCTCAATTAGTATTAAGCTTGTCATTTAAGTTTATCATGCCCGAAACGCTTTGCGTAATAGTGGCTTTAGGCATTGTATGTACTAGCTATACCTATAAGTTAAACAATCCTTGTAAATATTTATTGTATGTATGTACCTTACCTAAATAAAATTGTATTGTATTGTATTGTATTGTATGATTGTCATAGATAGTGGATAAGAGGTTTAGTTCTGGGTCTATACTTGTCTGCATAAGAAGGCTGGTTGTAGGAAAACAAGGCAAGAATGGAAATTACAAAATAAAATTTTGATATAAAAGGGGGAAATAATAAAAATCTAAACAAGCTATACAAGACAAACACAAAAAAAAGAAAAATGAGGTAGATTGCTTACAAGTACTCTCAGGTACACTGTATCTTGAGGTTATCTTGAGATGATTTCGGGGCTTTTAGTGTCGCCGCGGCCCGGTCCTCGACCAGGCCTCCACCCCCAGGAAGCAGCCCGTGACAGCCGACTAACACCCAGGTACCTATTTTTACTGCTAGGTAACAGGGGCATAGGGTGGAAGAAACTTTGCCCATTGTTTCTCGCCGGCGCCCGGGATCGAACCCGGGACCACAGGATCACAAGTCCAGCGTGCTGTCCGCTCGGCCGACCGGCTCTCACCCTGTAAGTAATAGACACTGCTTCTCAAGCGGTGATATTTCTGTGGGGAAGAAAATGTAATACCATAAGTTTGTGACTAACCAACTAAAGTTGCGCGCGCATCAAGCAGGGTACTTAAAGCGCGCCCGGGGACTCGGGGACCTCTTGCTCGCCTCCTCCCCAGACGATCGACACACTACAAAACGCCCACCCTTCTCCCGGGATCCCCTGCATCCCCTGGTTTACTTTCCAAGGGAAGACGCCAAAGTAGTTTGCTGGGGACACTTGTCCCAATTTGCAATGAATTTGTGTTACCTTTGGGGGTGCTCCGACGGAACCCCTAAAGTGATAAGCCAAGAATATCAAGAATTGCAATTACTGTAAAATTTAAATAATGCAACTTTCATTTACTAATTAGAGATGTCAATATTAACTAATTGATTTACATTATCATTATAATGGCTATCCATTAATATTATTTCTGTATAATAATTTATGCATCACTAATCATTATTAGTCACAATAATTAATTATCCACTTTAATTATATATTTATTCGTTATAATTAGCCTATGCTTCTTCATTTAAGGATTATCAATTATAATCATTTATGATTATTATTAATTAATTATTTGATGTAATAATTAATTATTATTATTATAAAAATAAAATAAGTCCCCCACTCGGTGAGCGTGTTTTTACAACCGCAGAAAAAATTGTGTTGAGAAAATAAAAAATAAAAAAAGGGGGGGGGAACATGGCAGAAAAATAGCAAATATACAATTTGGTCAACAAACAGCATTGTTTAAAATAGTAGACATGAGTTGACATTTAGGGGTAAGGTAGGTTACATGGAGTTAATTAGGTAGTACTTTTATCTTTTTATCTTTTAGGTAGAACTTTTATATATTTTATCTTATACTGGTAGGGAGAGGTACAGTCTTTAACATGATTGGGAAGGTCATTCCACATTCTGGGTCCCTTGATTTGCAGAGCATTTCTAGTTTGATTAAGTCGTACTCTTGGAATATCAAATAGGTATTTGTTTCTGGTGTGGTGCTCATGGGTTCTGTTACGACCTTCTAGGAAGCTTTTAAGGTCAGGATTGACATTACAGTTCAGCGTCTTAAATATATAAAATACACATGAGAGGATGTGCAGTGACTTAATATCTAATATATTCAGAGATTTGAGTAGGGGTACCGAGTGATGTCTGAGGCCAGAGTTGGATATTGTCCTAATAGCAGCTTTGTGTTGAGTAATTAGAGGACGTAAATGATTTTGGGTAGTATAGAACCCCAAGCACAAATACAATAGTTGAGATATGGATAGATGAGGGAGTAATAGAGCGTCACCAGGGCAGGGCGAGATACTTTTCTGAACAGGCTTCTGAACAGGCTTTTTTTACAGGTTCTTTTCTGAATGAACTTGAGCATTGCTGGCGTACGGGTTTCCCTATATGCAAGTCCAACTCTCCTGACAGTGCGTTTCAAAGTACGCAGTTTGGGGTCATTGTAATATGCATGGTGTTTATTACTTTTCATATCGTTCCGGCTATTGGATGGTGCAGGGAGCCGACCTAAAGGGTCAGCGAACATCTGAATGTTCTGTACTAGACCGTCGTTAAATGTCTGCCAGTGGAGGGATCATAAGTGCTGTACCACTCTAACACATGAGCGACAATTTAAGTCTTCACGTCGAGCAGGAGGAACACTGAGCCGTTTGCGTTTAAAAGTACCACCGGACAGGATGGTATTTCCGATACATATAGTAGTCAATCTAGGGTGATGATCTGACAACCAATCTGTTACGATAGATAATGTGCACCAAACGTGATCGAGAGACATTGAAACCAGCACAGAGGTCTATACAAGAATGTAAAAATGTCAATGCTATGTACTCTCATAAACCCAATGTACCTTCTCGAATATATAAATAAATAAATTACTTTAAAGTTATTTAGTAAAAAAAACTTATTATACTATTATTAAATAACATGATAGTTATTATAGTATTATAGTTAACATAATTAGAGTTATCATGTTACATCTGTGTTTGGAATTCTGTAGACCGATCCCACTGTTAAGTTTGTCTGTGCGCTTGATTATGAACGCAACAAAACAATGTAGTCATTATGTTGAATTCAAATTCTATTACAGTGTACCTATTATTAGATTTATTGTTGGCTTAAGGACCTCCCCGAAACGTTATACGTGTTAGTGCCTTTTCAAGAATGTAACATTCAATTACCAATGTATGTACTTTGTCAACCCGATGTGCTATTTTTGTATATAAATACAAAAACAAATCTTATATTAAAGTGACCATTTTAAAAGGATATTCGAATGCTCTTTCATGACGTTGAACCTGTGTGACGTCATTAATACGTCGTCTCCCGGTGGCGCTAAGGAAGAAGTTGAGGTCTGTGTTGTTCTTCTGTGACGACTGTTTCAGGAAATTGCAAACTGTTTAGAAAATTTTGGCTTGTGTTAATAGTGTCGTCCATTTACAAAACATCCATCTGCTTAAGGTAGGCATTTGCAATCTACGTCGTTTTTCTCCAGGCTATTGTATTAAAGTTGTTAGGGTGAGCATATATTGTAAAAGTTATGCAGTGTGACAATGCAAAATGCACCTGTTACCGTTTGTATTCTGTGTAACAGGGGCTGAATATTTATAATTTAGGCAGATAGAAATGTGGCACCGTCTTTAATATTAAAATTAGTGCTGAGGAAGGGTGTCATAGGCTTGGTGAATGTCTAAATTTCAGCAAATTTTTCAGCCTTTCATCACTAGTGTGCCATGACAGACCTTGACATTTTGCCATTTTTATTGCTAATTAATTACAGGTCTTAGCTGAAGGCAGTGCTGTTGGGCATAGCAAATTATCAAATTATAAGGCACAATTATTGTAAGACAGCTTTGAGTTAGCTTTTAGTTTACCTGTATAACTTGTAGTACAGTGACCCATAGCAGAGGTCAGACCACTGTAATTACCCAAGTGTAGTTACAGGATGAGAGCTACGCTCGTGGTGTCCCGTCTTCCCAGTACTCTTTGTTATAGAACGCTTTGACATTACTGACGGTTTTGGCCTCCTCCACCTTCTCGCCTAACTTGGTCCAACCGTCGTCGGTGCTGTGCGCGTGGCACCGGGTCTGGCAAGTAGTGCTGTCAGCTCACAAGCGGTCGTTCCCTGGGTTCTTTTCCCTGACAGAGCAAGACGTTTTGGGTACATTTCCTTACACCTGATGTGTCTGTTCACCTAGTAGTAAATATGTACCTGGGAGTTATGTAACATTGTGGGTTGCATCCTGGGGGCAAGGTTAGCCATTGGTAAGGCAGATCTAAATAAGCCTAACAAGTATCCTGGGCTTGATAAGGGAAAATTAAGGTTATTGTTATTGATAATGCATTGTAACAAGTCTTGGAAACAAATTCAGCTTACAGCTGCCACAGGAATAATATAAGAATTCTGAATTATGAAATTCTTCCTATGTTAAGGATGGTGTAAATGCTGGCTCTTAGGACCCTCCAATATTTAGAAACAGGCCACTGGTGTGCTGTACTATTTACCTTGAGCTTCATTGGGTTCTGAACAGCAGTACTAAGCGATCGTGATCGATGGATAACCATTTTATTAATCTGTTTTGTAGGCAGGTAGGATATAGTGTCAGCAAACCTGTTTCATATTTGTTTTTAAAATGTGAAATTGTTCCATAAATAGTAATTAATAAAAATAAAAAATCAGTAAATAATAAAAAATGTTCTTTTGCAGGGTTTTTATAGTATCTGAATATTTACTATATATTGTGTAATAAAGTCATTTAGGGGGGAGGGGGACACTTTCTATGGTTGTAAGCCTACCATAATTGAAACTGTAACTGGGTGCATCCAAGTCGTGTATTCATCTAGTTGTGCTTGCGGGGGTTGAGCTCTGCTCCTTCGGTCCACCTCTCAATTGTCAATCAATCGACTGTTACTAACGACTGGTTTTTTTTCTCCCCCCCAACACCCCCCTCCCCAGGAAGCCGCCCATAACAGCTTTCTAACTCCCAGGTACCTATTTACTGCTAGGTAACAGGCACATCAGGGTGAAAGAAACTGCCCATTGTTTCTCGCAGGCGCCAGGAATCGAACCCCGGACCACAGCATTGTGTGTCCAGCATGCTGTCCACTCAGCTACCGGCCCCTTATGTGCTCTTCTCCCTTTGGTCGCTTGCAGTAACATCTTGTTTGAATATTTTCACCACTATTTTAGTATGCTTAGTTACAAATATATATTCTTATATATATTTGACCATTTTATAAATGCATATATATATTTGAAAGTCTTTAACTAAAAGAAGAATTATTTAAATGTTATTGATTATTTTTTTAGTATCATTTGAAAGCTAAAATATCCTTTTATTAAATGCCCAACTGATATTTAATTCTCTAAATCATTAAAAAATAATAATGATTTATAAAATTTATAAATAAAAACTTGAGTTAAACATTTTGTAGCTGCAGCTGCATTAAAACTTATGATTCAGTGATTTAAGCACCAAATTATATGTGACTGGCATTCAATTAATCTAATTATAATTTTTGTTTTCATATCAAAAATACATATAAATAAACAAGAAAAGCTAGCAACTCTCTAGTATTGGTGATATTTTGATGATGATGAAAATAAAAACAAAATAGAATTGGCTAATTTCTTTAAAATAAAGCTTAGTAGTAGGCATTCATCAGTCTCGGGAGACTGGAGTTGCGCTCTGGTTGTCGGTCTGGAGTGGCCTCTCCAGCACGCAAAGCCAGGGTAGGTTGATATGGGGAGAAGCTGTCACCTATGCAGCAGGTTCACCCTTTCCACGGTGCCAAAAGTCTCCAATGGAAAGGCAAATGCCAATACGATTGGTTCCAGCGCCGTCGCAGGAACTGTTAGAACGAAGTTGTCAGAACTGTCAGAACAAGGTAAAGCTTAAACATAACTAAAAATGTAGGCTTTTTTGTGCTATGAAAAACAGGACTCAAAATTTAATAAGTTGTACAGTAATAAAAGATTGTGATGCCTCCCTTAATTTTGGTTAAGTTGGATGTTTCATTATTTGTGAGTAAAAAAGGTAGTACAGTACTGTATATGTCACCCAGACTAGTCAAGCTGAACCAAGTAGAGGGAAGTAAAGGTATCTTAATGTGGAATAAAATGTAGATTGATTGAGAAAAGTTAGCTCGACTGGGAAATACAGTGGTTGGCAGGAAAGTGGTTTTAGTACTACTGTAGTACTACAGTGTACTTCTGATATAAACAACATTGTGTCAGGGTACAGGCAGCCAGAGTGTATTGATACATGTTAGGGTCCCGGTAGTACAGTCAGGTTCATTTTCGACGCACAATCAAGAATTCCGGGTTTGAATCCTGGGCGGGACAGAAATGGTTGGGCACATTTCCTATCACCTAATGCATCTGTTCACCTAGCTGTAAGTAGGTACTCGGGAGTTAGTCAGCTGCTTGTTAGTCTATCCTAGTACTGTATTTATAGCTTCGGTGTGTAGGCAATTCCATGGATTTACCTGAATTTACCCGAGGGCCAGTAACACACTAGTGGCCTCGATAAGGTCAGGAAGCTGGCAGCTTGTCAATGGTCCCCCCATTTTCCCCTAGATTTTAAAATTTAAGAGTTTTGGCACTTGTGGACTCGGTGTGTAGGCAGCTTTATGAGTTTGTAACTGTAGGTGAAAAAGCATCTCCTGTTTTCAGTCCTACATTGTGAGTTGTTGAGCATGAAACTGTTGTTCCCTGTTTGTGTTGCATCTAACCTTTTGAAGAAATTGTCTGGATCAATATCCTCCAAATTGTTCAGTATTTTAAAGGTTTTGATGAGCTCTGCCTTGTCATGCCTGGGTTGCAGTATTGTTAAGCTCTGAGGCCCTCAATCATCAGAGCCGTCTTACTGCATGGGTCTGATGGGCATGCAGTAAGTACTTGCCCGGGGGCCCCATGAGCATAGGGGTCCCACAAATATAGATGTTCATCATGCAACCAGAATATTTAAATATTTAGGTCATATTGCAAGTACACTTACATGCAAGCAAGCTGACCGGCTGGGAGCCCAAACCAGCCAGTCATCAAGGTAGGCCAACACCCGAACACCTAGGAGACGCAAACGAGCCACCACAACCCGTGTAAGGTGCTTGAACACGCGAGGTGCCAGGTTCAACCCGAATGGGAGACAACGAAAGCTGTAACTCGGATGCCCCACAACAAAACCGAGCCAGTCCCTGAACCATTGATTAATCGGGACATGCCAATAAGCGTCCCGGAGGTCCAGGGACACCATCTAAGCGCCCGACTCCAAGAGAAGCCGAACCTGAGACAGGGTAGTCATCCGAAAGGAGGGGCAATGAACCCAGGGGTTCAGACGGGACAAGTCCAGAATGAACCGCAGGTCCGCGCAGTCCTGTTTCGGAACCGGAAACAGACTGGAAACCCATCTGAGAGACGACGTCGTTTCGACAACGCCCAAGTGTACCCACTCCAAGACGACTCGACAGAGCACAGGGGAAGAAACCTGCCCTGCCAGCCCCAACCCCCCCAAGGGGGGGAGGGGCCACCCAACACCACCGCAGGCCGCCAGACACGACCCGAAAGGCCCAAGAATCGTGGGACCAGGTGCGGGCGAACAGCACAAGCCACCCCCCCATCGCCCCGTCAATGGGGCAAACCGCAAAAGGGCCGGCGACCCTTACAAGACCCAGAACCCTGCACAGAGTGAACACCGCGCCGACCAAACGAGGAAGAGTTCGGAGCAGGAGCCGAACCCGAACCTGACACCAGAGGCCTACCACGACAAGAGGAACCCTGAGCCCTGGCACGACCCTTCCAGGAAGACCCACCCCGGGACCCTCGGAAAACCAACAAGTCCGACATCGGACGACAAGCTGCCGACGCAGCCTGAATAAACTGCGCCACGGCTGACTCCTCAAACAGAAGAGGACAAAAAGGTGAAGAACGCCTAAGAGCCAGAGCCCAAGCAGATTCCACGGAGGAACCCAGCACCGTCTGCCGACACGCGAGACGGGAAGCATAAAACAGGGAAACCGCATCTTGCAAAATCGGCGTGAACAGCTTCAACAAGGCAGCCGAGGACAAGGTGCCGGACCCCGGGACGGACCCAAGCGTCCTCACATCCTCCACGAGCCAATCCGAGGACAGCTCCAGGAGGGAAAAGAACTGCAAGGCCGAAGCCAAAAGGCCCCGGGCGCGCAAGTCCTCCGCAATGAGCGCCGCCAAAAGGGTGGGAACCTGCACATGGAGCTGAATAACGCCTACATCGCGGGGAAGGGCAGGGGCAAACAAGCACTCATTTAGGTACTCAAGATCGCCCCCCCAGGAAAACCTTAAGCACCGTGGAAGCTTCCTGCCACTCCAGTGTGCAGGAACGACAGAAGGAATGCCAGGAATCCAGAACAAACAAGGGGCAGTCCGCTAGCCAGGAAGACTCCGGAACCTCGTAACGGAGCCAGAAAGGGAACGAAGTCCCAAA